GAGTATCTATACCAGATCAGTATTCATGAGTACCTTTGGCAAGTGTTACTGTATTTTTATGATTTCTTTAAGAAAAAAAGTATCAACAATGTCTGGTTAGTGATTTAAAGTAACATAAAACACAAATGCATGTTAAAAGTTCATGGTTCCAGAGAAATACAAAATAAAAGACCATTTCATCTTTAACTGATTGGCTGCTTTCAAAAACTTTCCAATTCCTGAGCACCAAGTAAAATAAATAATGCTAAATTATCTATGGAGTCATCCTTTTCATCACATTTTGTTCTATGTGTCTTTTCTCTCAAACCCTTAATGATATTTTTAAGAGCTGAGCTGAGAGAAACATTTTTAACAACATAAAGGGTTCTGCCTCGCTGAGTTTTGGTGGGTAAATCAAACTGGAATGAAACCAGGGACAGATTTACAGGAAGGGAAGAAGGTTCCCCTTTCCACCTTCCAAATTACAGCATTTTTATTTTCTACTATAATCTGAGTTTTTACATAGTTTATACTTACTTGTTAAGAGAAACTGGATTTATGATCCTTGTTATGTAGTCAAAATTGATTCTCAATTTATTTAGCCTTATCGAACCTGCTTAGGAAAAAAGAAGTGAATGATATGACAAAATGAGGACACACACGGTCATCCACTCTGGTGGACTATTACGTTATTGGGTTATTGGTGCTCTTTTTATGTAAAATTAAGTTTCCATGTGTATTGTTTAGAACAATCCTGATGAATACAATGTGTGGAAGTTAATTTTCATTCAGTGCTACATCTAAGTGGGTGTTGGGCAATAAGGCTGTCTCAAGGTTTCCCAGTGAACTCAAGTAAAAAGTAGTCTTGCCTACCTTGGCGGGGCAACATAATCATTAAATGATAGAATATCTTTGTGGAACAGGTTGTTCATTTCCTTCAATAAGAAACTCCTAAGGACCCTGAAAAGGTGCCTCACCTGGCCTCCCCTGCCTGGCGATCTGACCCCACTCTCCCCCGACATGACAAGTGCCCAGGTCCACCCTCTGGCTGTTCCTCAAATGGACCAAGTTCCTTCCACCTCTGGGACTTGGCACAGCAGTTCCTCTGCCTGGAGTGCTCTTTCCTTCTGACCTCACACGGCCCATTCTACCTTGTCCCTAGATTTCAGTTTCAATATCAGCCTTAGTGGCACCTTATCTGACCCTCAAAAATCCAATCACTCTCCATCACATCAATATTTTTAAGATTTCTTTACATAGCATTTGTCACTTTCCACCTTTTCTGGATTATTTCTTTATTCAAATTGTCTGTTACCTGCACTAGAATATAAACTTTCTAAAATCAGTGTCAGTTCACTATATGTTGATTGTATCCACCACATTCAAAACATAGTGGTCACTCGGTAAGTTTTTGTTGAATAGATAAAAGACAACAAATAATTAATAGTTGCTGCAGTGCTACAAAGTTTTCATGGAAAACTTAAGAAGCCCGTTGGACTTTACAATACTGCCCTTCGATTATACTTACTTCTATTTCTAAAACATCCTTTATTTAAAAAAATGTTTATGTGTCTCTGTTTATAGACGTTGCCATTGGTGCACCCTTTGCAGGCAAGGATCAAAGAGGCAAAGTGCTCATTTACAATGGGAACAAGGATGGCTTAAATATTAAGGCTTCCCAAATTCTACAAGGAGTATGGGCCTCACAGGCTATCCCTTCTGGATTTGGCTTTACTTTAAGAGGAGATTCAGATATAGACAAGAATGATTACCCAGGTAAGGTTTTCTTTCTTTTCCCTTCCTAGAAAGAGCCCCTTTCTAGGGGAAAATGCATCATGTGTAAGGAGTTCTCTCATAAAGGCCAAGGCCAACCGTAACCACAGCACAGGTTTTTTATGTGTTCAATTCCAGAGTGACTTTCACAAGAACTTGAAGACAGACAAAACAAACTCTCCCTTTCCTGTCAAGAGACAATGTTAGAAAGGCAAGGTGGCTTAAAAAAACTGCATTGGACATAAAACTTGTGAACTTTGCAAAAGCTTTTATTAGAAACCCCTCAGTAATTTGGTCTCCATTGACAAAGACAGTTTGCATCAGAGATAGCTTAGAGCAACTTATTTTAATCCTATAATCCCCTTTGGAGCTCATAGTTCCTATTAACTTATGAAATGCAACATTTCTGTCATAAAGTTCATGTTTTGGAACATAAATATTTTCCAACCACATTTTGGGGATTTTCCAAAAAGAGATTAAACATTTTAAAGTGAAGCAAAAAGAACTGGTTCATGATAAAGATAATAAACTGTTCTTGATCACCTCATTCATATTGAGGACTCATGTAAATCCATACAGCACAGTGAGATAATTCATGTTCTGTGCATGCTGTATGGAAACACAGATTTTTCTTAAAGGATTGTTTCGGTAATTAGGATCTTTAGCAGAGAACATTCAACTTCTTGGTTTTATGGTTCAATTTTTACTTTTATGTTGCTTATTTTAAGATGGTTTCAATAAATAACTAGAAATCATTAATAGTTAACTGACAGCTTCAACTATTTATTAAAACCCTGTCTCACCTCTCCTCTAATTGGGTATTTTCCATATGTAGAGTTTTTCCTGGTTTGGGGCAGCATTCCAATAAACTGACTGCCTAAATATACATCACTAATTTCAATTCTTTGACTTTCTGTTCCTCACTGGGGTTAGACAAAAAGGATACTGCAACATATTCTTATGAATTTGCCAGAAATCTTTCATGGCACTAATGTAGATGCTGTGGTGGACTCAAAATGGATTTAGTATTATATTTTATATGAATGTGTCCTACCTACAGGGATTTCAAGAGCATCAAGTTAAATTAATTTTCTCAGGTTATAGTATACTAACCTAATCAATGATGGTCAGCTTTGATTTGTTTGGTGTAGGGGGCTCCTATATAATATATTCTGTTTTTAAATAATCCAAAAATGAGGTCCCTTATGTGATTTCTTCCCCCAGATATGTCAGGATAATTAATGAAATTCAAATCCTGGATTGCAATTTTAGATAAACAATTATTTCAGAAAATTATTGTTATACACTGTGCTTGTTAATTCTTCTCTTAATACATTGTGCTTGTAAATTCTTATCTTAAGACCGTGGAACTCAACGGACAGACTGGATTTAGCAATTGCTAATTTTCCACCAATGCATCTTGTTATTTCAGCACCTAAAAGGAGTTGCAGTTTGCATAGGTTTTGCCTGGGAAGAAGCATAAGCCCTCTTTTCTCCCAAAGGTTATCCGGTGGCATGCTTTCCAAACTCTATAGCTCATTTTATAAACTCTGTGTTCTAGTGCTCTATGGTCAATCTTGTGATTTTCCAAACCAGTACTTACCAGAACTTAAAAAGAAATAAATTTTTCTTTCTTTCTGGAAGCCTGCTTTTTCTAATCAAAAGGGCTCAGCCTTCAGATTACTGTGCCTTCTCTGAGTTTCAAATCCACTTGACAAATTGACTTGATTCTAGGCTGTATCTAGTTCAACCTCAGTAAGCAGTGGTTGTCAATTTTGGCAGCACTTTAAATCACCTGGGGAAATTTAAAAAATCCATATGCTCAGGTCACCCTCCAGACCAGTTAAATCAGAACATCCGGGATGCAACTAACACCACAGTAATATGTTTAAGTAACCTGGGTAACGCCAGTGTACAGAGAAACTGGGAACTAAGGACCTAGAACAAATTCCCCCCACTTTAATGAACATATGGATTACTCAGGCATCTTATTAGAGCACAGATCCTGATTCAGTAGGTCTCATTAATAGTAGGCTGCTTTCTGGCTGTGTAAGAGCAAGACAATTTCTTAACCTCTCTGAACTTCAATTCCTGTATCTGTAAAATTAGATAATAATACATTGGAAAAAGATGAAATGATATTGTTTATACCATGTGAAATGAGATGGTGTGTTTACGTTAAAATGAGATCATGTTGAACATAATAAATGGCAGCTCTTCAATCAATTTTTAAAACAAGACTATTTTGGAGGTATTTTTTTCTTAGGCACATTAGATGTTATTGTTTTATTGTGCTTATTTAATTTCCATGGTCCCCAATCTTAATTGATAGTCTACATTTGCTTCCCATGCCCCAGACAAATAGGAATATGAGAGTAAGAATGGCTATGGAGACCCTGCTGTTTATGAGAGCCACTCATAAAAATCCTGTTGCTGGACCCACTCCAGAAGCTTCTGCTAATAATAGAAGGTTGCTACCCTGCTACGATGTAATTCCACCACTCATTCCATCCTACCTCCCACCTCTAAGTGGGGAAAAAACATGAAGAATTCTCCCATTTCTCACTGCTGTGATTTACTGGGTGCCAGGAATGGAAAGCGCTCTTCCCTCTTAACCTTTTAGCTCTTTAAGGTATTTAATTTCATATAAATTATGCCTGAAGTAGGGTGATGACAACAGTTGAAAGGAAGGGACTGAGGACTGGCTGTGATGAAGGTAGAGCAGGTGGGGGGGGGATGTTAAGGTGACTGGAATTTTGATCTCATGTACCCAGGAAAAGTATGATATAATGAACAGACATGGGGCAGTATTGTTACAGAAATACAGAGACTCTACTATAGAAATATTTGGAGTAATTTCCTAACATCTAGTTTAACCACTTAATTTTTTAGATTTCTTACAATAAAAATTGTCATCAGCACACATACATACATAGAACTCTTAAGTATTTTGTTTTGTGGCACCAAAATTCTTTTTCCTTTTCAAAATATAGATGTGTTCAGGTTTTAATACGCATGCTCACTGGAAAACTAGGGCTGACCAGAGGAGTGTCTTGTATACATTGAGTGAAAGCATTTCAGAGAAGAAACATCTGTGATAGTTAGGAATCCCTAAAATTCAAAGATCTAGTCTAATCCCATTAAACATGATTGTATAACAAGGCCATCTGCTAAAAGCGAAACCCAGACATTGGAGTGGGGGAGGGGAAGTACAGGTTTGTTGAGCCGAAATCTTAAGGCAATAAAAACTAGAGGGAAACATGGGCAGAATGCCAAAACTATCATTGTCTCATTCAGGCCCCTAATAAATGATGATTATATTATGAAGCCGCTTCAGAAAATCATATCAAATGAAATAAAATGGCCCATCATCTGTTTCAATGAGTGTTGTGTGTGTGTAAGTGAACAACTGAGCAAGAACCTACGCAGGAGAAGAAATAAAAGGGTGGCTTTAACTGAAGGAATAATGTATTTTAATCAAATCTTGAACCCCTTGAAATTGATATGAAGTTTAGCTGAACTTTATAGTTAATGTTTATTTTTACTTCTCAAACGCTACTCAAGTTTTTATGAAAAGCAAAACATTATGTTCTTACTGAGCAAGATTTTCATACTTTCATAAACACATGAAAAATTAAAATATTCATTTCTTATAAAAATATCTTACAAATTTAGATTAAATGGAATTAATTAAGTCAACTGAAAGAGTTCCTAGACTTGAATTCAGCAGTGTCATAAAGTAGAAATGAAAATAATGCATTACATTAAATGATTTCCAAATGTTGCATTAGGGTTATAATGTATAAATCTTTTTATACAATGTTGGATTCAATTTGCAAATATTTTGTTGAGGATTTTTGCATCTCTCTTCATAAGAGATACCAGTCTGTAGTCTTCCTGTAATGTCTGTCTGGTTTTGATATCAGGGCAATGCTGGCCTCACAGACTGAGTTAGAATGTATCCCTTTTGCTTTTATCTTCTGGAAGAGAAGATGTAGAGAATCCATATAATTTGTTAAATCTTTGGTAGGGGTCTTATGCTTTCTGTTTTGGAATAGAATTAATTGTTGCTTCAATTTGTTTAATAGATATAGGCTATTCCAGTTGTCTTATTTTTTCTTGTTCTGGCAGATTGTGTCTTTCAAGGAATTATTCCACTTCCTCTATATTATCAGATTTGGTGAGCAGAGAGTTATATTCCTTTTAATGTCCATGGAACAATAATGTCCCATCTTATATTGTTAGTAATTTGGATCTTGTCTATTTTTGTCTTATTTAGCCTGGCTAGAAGCTTATCAATTACAGTGATCTTTTCAAAGAACCAGTTTATGCCCTTGTTAATTTTCTCTATTCATTTTCTGTTTTCAGTTTCACTGATTTCTGATCTAAATCTTATTTCTCTTCTCCTTACTTTGGATTTAGTTTGCCCTTCTTTGTCTAGTTTCCTAAGGTGGAAGCCTATGTTATTAATCTTATATCTTTCTTCTTTTCTAACATATGCATTTGATACTATAAATTTCCTTGGTTTGATAAATTGTGTTTTCATTTTCATTTAGTTCAAAATATTGCTTAATACCTCTTGAGTTTTCTTCTTTGACCCATGTGTTCTTTAGAAGTATGTTATTTACTCCAAGTATTTTGGGATTTTTCCAGCTATTTTTCTGTTACTGATCTCTAGTTTAACTCCATTGTGATCTGAGACCAGACATGGTATAATTTCCAGTCTTTTAAAATTTTTAAGGTGTGTTTTATGGCCCAGAATAAGGTCTGTCATGGTGAATGTTCCCTACGAACCTGAGAAGCATGTTCATGCTTCTGTTCTTGGATGAAGCAGCCTATGGATGTCAGTTACATCCAGTTGATTGATGGTATTGTTGAGTTAAATTATGTCTTTACTGGTTTGTTGCCTGCTATATCTTTCCATTTCTGATAAAGGAGTGTTAAGGTTTCCACTATAATAGTGGATCCATCTATTTCTCTTTGCATTTCTTTTAGTTCTTGCC